TCTGCATCTCAGAAATGTGGTCTTCAAGCACACGGGCTACAGAATGTACGGCTAAAGGCAGTCCGAGCAGTCATCCTCACCACTGAGAAGGGCAAATGCCTGTGATTCTACAATGAGCTCCTATCAGTAAGGGTTTCCTGCACAAAATATTACCGTACACTTCTTGGCTGACCTCTAGTGTCTTCTGAGCATGACCTGCTGCGTTCTTCCACACCGGTTCTCAGTTTCCCGATGCTGAGACCCTTCAATACAGTCCTCATGTTGTGGTGACCCCAACCATACAATTATTTTTGCTGCTACTTCCTAATGAATTTTGCTCCTATGTGAATCATAAATACTGATAAGCAGCATATCTGATATGAGACCCCGTGAAAGGGCTGATAGATCCACAGGTTGGGAACTGCTGTTTTATACGTTTAATCTAGGCATCAGCAGCCTTATTAGAATTTCACTCAGTATTATCTTCGAGCTTTTCCCACAGAGTTAGATTTCACACTTGATTTTACAGCCTAGTAGTGCTGATATGGTTCTTTCTCTTAGAAATTGTTATTTTTCAAAAATAACTGTCCTATTTCTACATGTGTTTTATTACTGTAAACTACTTCAAATACTTCTTGGAAGGTTTACTATTAAATCACAATTGAAAATGACTAGCCCTGATTAAAGCATAAACAGAATCTGATTAATGTACTAACCAATACAGATCCGTCTGAGAGAAACGGAGCCTCTTGATCATGACTTTCAAAACAAAACACTCAGATTTCATATGGTTGTGATTTGCCTAAGATGAGCAAGATGAGCAACATACACAGTACACACATACTCACGTGTACACACTCACTCACATGTACACACTCACTCACATACACAGTCTTTTTTTTAACAGAAGTATTGTGAAACTCACTGCCTACCTGACCTAAATGCACCCAAAGAGATGAACAAGACTGTAGACTACCTTGTCTCATGTAAAGCTTTCATCTATCAAGACACAGAGCAAACCAGGGTGGTGCCAACCAGACGCAGCCACGCTCTGTTCGCAGCAGCTGAGTCTCCAGACAATGCAGCCTGGTTTCTATAGACTCCGGTAAGCTTTCGCCGAGCACCATGGTAATCCTGTAAGACACTAACCCAAAACACAGTTTGTATTTTAAAAATCTCAGAAGTGGTTTTATAACAACAGAAGTACCTCGGCCACTAAAATAAGCATGTTCCTATTATATGTAAAATTACAATACTCAGCAAATGTTGAACAGTTGATTCAGCAACCAATAAATATAAATTGCCTTAGAAATTTGCTATTTTTGACTTATTCCTTTGGATCCTGAAAATGTACTTAAAAATATACAGGAAATAATAATTTGTCAGAAAGTTTTGAGTCAAGTGTGGAGCACTCAGACCAGACACATGGAAGGTGCCTCCAGGACCCTCATAGTAGCTCATCCCTCATCCCAAGGATGCTTAAGAGTTCGCTGAGCACACTTCACTAGGGATTTCAGCTAAATACAGTAAGATGAGCTAGACGTCCAGCTCTGGAATTAATACAAGACTGAGACAGTGGGCAATGGTGTGCTAAAATACACAGGCTTAAGCTGCCACATTGGCCTCTGCTAGTTAGAGCAGACATACCAGAAGTACTTATTCATACTGACGTGCTATCAGATGCGCATTACATAACCGCCTCAACAGCTGCATGTGTGGCACTAAACCACAAAGAGGATCAGACTTACAAGAGAATAATTAAGAAGCACATTCCTTGCTGCTTTTTAAAGTTAAATTCAGGCTTTTCTATTGAAATAATTTCTATTTTTCCTAGTTCCTGAAATAGGCATCAGACTTCTAAAAAGAAGATTAAGATCTCAGCCCAAGAGCCACATAATAATTATTGAGACAGGACTAAGAAAAGTAAGCTAATAAATTAACTTAAATAAATTAAAAATGCACATTCAGAACAGAATTGCAGCTTTTCATCAGCAACACCTGAACCAAAGGCAAAGATCTGCCATGATTAAGGCAGCTTTTTATATACAGTACCACGTATTTGCCCCACCCACCCACCCGCTTGCTTAGCATTCAAAATGCACTGCCAAGATGAAATAAAAGCTTCCCTAGTTTAAGAAGAAAGTCACGTTCAGCTCCTTCTGTGTCACAGTCTTCTTAGACCTATTACGGCAGTTTTCTTTTGGTCTCCGTGCACTCAGTATAAGCGACTACTGCAAACAATCCTAAGACTTTGGCTGCAACAGGCTGTGATTGTCAGGGTGACAGCCGCTGTAAGGAATTATTCTCGTCTTCTGCTGGAGTCAGCTTGAGCGTTGGCAGCTTCCGAGGAAGAAGCTGAGGGCTCTGGCGGAGATTGTCATCCATCTGTAGGAAGCACAAAGACACATCTGACTACGGCTGAGGCTCCTCTTTGGTGGACTGCGCCCTCCCCATCTAGACTACAGAGAAGAGAACTGCAGGTGGCAGGACTGGCGGAGACACATTTCTCTGCCAGCCGCTCACAAATGAGGACTGTCATCTCAAATACCAGCCGACTCGGCGTCCACAAGAAGCAGAGTGGCTCATACTCAGCCCCTCACAAAATTATAATAAGTTCCACAAAAAAGAACATGCTGCTGAACTTGATCGGGACTCACTTAAGATACTCTCTGCAGGTATCGGTAAACATTTACCTCTAAATGTGCTCTGCTAATCTTCCCCTCAAACTGAAGAACAGGCACAGTCCCACCCTACATGAGATGACAAAATGAGGCTTAGAAAAGAGAAGTCCCCTTTCCAGGTTCTAATGCCAGTATCACGACCCAAGTCTTCTTATTCTAACACAATTTTTAAAAACTACTCCTCTTTTCCAAATTGAAAGTGGCCAGAATGCCATGCGACACAGCTCCCCCCTCCCCAGTTGAGAGTATGTAGAACAAAGGATGCTGGGGAAACGGTGGCAAGGACAAGGCCTTAGATCTAGTCCAGAGGTCTTTCAAACACGGATCACTTCTGAGCCAACCTTAGAGACACCATTACATGAAGTACATTAGGAAAATGCCAAGAAGTCCGAAACACACATTAGCACCCTGGAATACCAGGTGAGATTACTCAGAATTTAGCCAGTCTCCAAGCTCCATCTTCACCCCAGAGTACTGATACTGAGTTCTCTATCAACTTCACTTTTTCAACAACTTGAAAGCAGTGCCATCAAATCACAGAACCAACAGAAAAGAATATCCTATCACTCCCACAATAGACAAGCTGTTCTCAGAGCTCTGCATAAATGCAGAATATTTTAAACTCGCCATTGCTCAGTAAGGTTTCAAAGCAAGGAAGAAATATTTTGGCAAGGCATGTGTGCATGTGTAAGGTTTGCGGAAGACAGAAAATAAAAGGCTAATTATTAATTTTCAAATAGGGAAAACTTGTGACCAGGGAACAACCAGGTGGGCAGCATTTACTTTCCAGCAAGAACTGGATCTCAAATATTAGTCTTTCTCTTACGCTCTAGATTTTTGCTATAAATTGTGAGCAGTGGTGGCTAAGAAGACCAGCGGTCCTATTGTGTCTCACCAGCCATCACACACTTCCTACACAAGAGCACATACGAACACCTGCTGATGAAGACCCAAGGTGGATATGTATAAAATAGTGAAGGCTCCTGTTTTACCTTCTGCCTGTGGGGGTATTTCATAACTCCCCTGCCATACCTGTCATGGATCACATACAGAAAATGGAAAGAAGCTGTGTGGTAGTGGTGCACACCTTTTATCCCAGAACTCAGGAGGCAGAGGCAGGTGGATCTTTGTGAGTTTGAGGTCAGCCTGGTCTACAAAGAGAGTTCCAGGACAGTCAGGACTGTATAACAGTACTGTCACACAAAGAAACCTTATCTAGAAAAAAAAAAAAAAGAAAAGAAAAAGGGAAAGGAAACTATGTTAAACAGCCTTCCTACAGACGAATGAGCTCCTGTAAACACACTTAGCACTTTGCACACATCTTCATAGGACATGTATTAGACTGAGCAAATAGAGCCTGCCCAGGCTTTAACTCACACCACAAAAACTTGAACAGTAAAGAACGCTACAGCTTCTCCAAAACCAACACCACATGAGACACTGGCAACAGAAGCCATCCCAGAGAAGAACAGTGACAAGCTGACACATCCTCTCCGTGACAGACACACAATCACACTTAGAAGCTGAGCAGCTGCCTACGGGAAAGAACAATGAACCGCAACACTGCTGGCGCTGGTGTCCCCATGTCTACAGTGTAAGTCTCCTCTCTACCTTCTTCAGCCAGAAGACTTTGGGCAGGTGATGACACTCACACCATCACATAGATGAAATGGGACAAGAGCATCTGCACACGGAGCCTCTAGAAGGCTTGCTGACTCCTATGAAGCCCTTCTACCTCAGTGCATATGAAAGCATCAAGTCTATCACACACTAGGGGGGAATCTGCAAGGCCCTTTCACATGCTTCCAATCAGAGTCCTCCTCAAATCCGCCATTGTTGGCTGTCTCCTCTACCCACTCCCTCATGGTCTCTCACACAGTGAGAATCTCCAAAGTGATAAAGGACTGAATGGTGAAGATACTGTAGACCACATTCAGGACCAAGAAGAACAATAAGAAAGAAGGGGCATGAGGGAAGAAGAAAAAGACATTACTGATATGGAAGAGAAAACATGGATGCTTAGACCCTACAGAAAGTGACTTCAGGACAGCAAGGACAACAAGCAAGGCTTGCTTCTGATTTGCTGTCTTTAAAGGTAATTTTTATGTCACCCAACTTGGTAAGTGCAAACTATATAGTAAAAGGCAGGCCCAACACAATTACTCAAATTTCCCTCAGTACAATCAGGCCACTGCTGGCTTCAAAACACCACATTAAACAAATCTCCACTCCAAGTATATATAAACAGCCTCTTGAAAAGTAAACTCTTTAAAACTAAGAGTGTCAAATGAACACACAACCCAGAATACAGACAGGAAAGCAATGATGAAGGAACGCGACCTTTTCAATTAAGTTGGATTCCTTATTTACAAGTTGCGTGAGTTTCCGCAGGTTCACGTCTATCATTTCTTGTCCAGCTGGAGAGATGCCTGAGAAGTCAGGAGAGAAATCAGGGAGAGAAATAAACTTTGAAAGACTTTCAAGCTGTTGAAGATTGAAAAAAAGAAAATTTCGGTTTACCCACCATCCTAATTGCTCCCCCTCCCCCCAAAAGAAAACTGAAAACGAGAAAAACATTTGGGTTCAAGGGCAAAGTTAGGAGGGACAGCAGTGCTCCGTAGGAAGCGGAAAGGAAAAGACTGAACTGTGCTTTTGGAAGACACTGAGCCACACGACATGCAGGCGGCTACAGGGGTTAGTAAGGCGCGGTGCTCTCCAGATGGTGCTGCCCCCTCCCTAGTCACTACATGCAGGTCACTGGCTGTAACACTATAGACACCTTGCTAAGGTAGCGACTCCCTAACACCTATTTACCAGGCATCCAAGATATTTAAAAGAATTTTTAAAAGCAGAGCTTTCTGGGATTGATCCCCAGACATTTTACTTTGGGAACTATGGAAGAGTTGAGGAGCCAGGCTGGCTAGCCACTGCCCCAGAGCGACAAGGTCGGATGCCACTAAGCTCCCTAACTTCCCATTTCTTGGACTTCCCTAGATGTAAAGCAGAGAATCCTCCATAAAAAATAAATAAGTAAAATAAAAAACAGCCAGTCTGCTGAAGCCAGCTATCTCACAAGTTCTGCTTCTCAGGAAAAATTCTGCAGCCACCTCTCCATATCCACACTCAGTGCCCAGACCCTAAGCACAGGCCCCCAGGCAGAGAGAATGCCATCCTAAGTGCCAAGAGCCCTCTACTTACTCTATCTCCAGTTTGCTGCAATCATTTTCAAGTAGTAGAACCATGGGGGTGACCTCACCAAAGTCAATCTGCTGCTCATTTCTGTTCAAGGGGAGAGTGCTGGAAGCAGCAGGTGAGAATTGTGTAAAGTGACCGCCCATTTGATGGGGTAAACACTACCTTCAGCAGGGACTCAACACACGCACTTTAATCCTTGAGAAGAAAGTGACCCACTGCAGGGGCAATACTTATAAAGAAGATACACAGAATGTGTGAAGTCCAGAGGATGGGGGGGCGGGGTCATATGGCTCTTTCTCCATGTACGTAAGAACATGGCAGCAGATGTAGCGGGCAAACCACCAGGTCTGGAACCTATGAACCAGAGTCTAAGACAAGGCGCAAACGAGTTCTTGCGCGCTGCCAGGAGACATTAAAGTGCCTGATCTGAGTACACCCTAGCTAAAGCCGACTTACCCGCGGGCCCATGTCTGAAGTAGCTGTCCAGGATGTCGTCACACAGGCGGCACAGATTGGAGAGCTGTTTCAGATGCTCTTGTAAGTGAACCTTGGGAAAACGCACTTTATAAAGAGGTGCGAGGAAACCAAACACGTAGGCATCCAAGGTGGAAGGCCTAGAGACGGAGGACTCTGTCAGGAGCACTTAAGGGCAGGCGGACTTGGACTGCATTTTAAAATGCTCTTCAAGCTACCTGTCAAGTCTAATAGGCAACATCACGTTTTGAATGGTTTGCTCCCATTTTTGATTCCAAAAGGGAGGCGGCCAGCATTTTACCTTCTAAGTAGTTTTAAAAATATTCTAGCTATTTATTTTATTCAGAGGGAATTGAGGTTGTAAACGACAAATGTTATGGACTGGAAGCCGGGTGGAGGCACGCTCGATGCTGTCACAGCCATATGCAGCACATTAAGCTAATGGAAGATTAATGCCAACAGAAAAATTTTCCCTATAAAAGCCCAGTAAATCCCGGCTAAAGACTGAACCCGGGGCCTTATGCGTGCTGTTTGAGAGCTCTGCCAATCAGCTCTACCCCCAGGCGCCCTTCTGAAGGGAAAAATCCATCTTCTGAGGGGTGGGAAAACTAGCTTTAACTCACATTTCACTGAATATATACACACAACATATCAAAATAACTCTTGTTTACATGATTCAAATGATAAATTATATTTATGTATATATGGATCCACACAAACCCAAAACCAACCACCAGCCTGGGGACTGAGGAACTGCTGAGTGACTTCCTTCAGGGTGTTCAACAAGAGCATGGCTTCATGATCAGTGCAGTGGGCAACAGGAGCATGCTCTAGACGGCCCGTTGGAGGAGGAAGCCCAGGGGCTACTGGGGTAGGGCTCTCATCTTCTGTAGCAGAATCATAGGGCCTTTCTTCTTCTTCTTCTTAAGGGATAAGAGCTAGCTTATTCTAGAGTCAAACATGAGTGGCCATGGCCTGGGGATCCAAATTTAGGTCACTCAAAATAGTGTTTCCCACCAAGGCAGTTTCATGATGTGTTTGTAGTAACAGAACAGAGAAGGCCATAAATCAAGCAAACTTTTCAAATATACTGCAGGAAACATCAAAAAGGTGGCTACGGCAAAGTGACTTTAAGGGAATTTACTCACGTGTCACCAAAGAAGAACTGAGATGTTCCCAATCTGTTTGACAGGAGGTTGAGGCACTCCTTGGCATCTCTGTATATCTAAGAAGGATGAAGGAGACTTTGGAGGTAGCATCTCTAGGTAAGGACCAGTCCCCTCTCTCCTCCCTTCCCTGGAGGGCTTGTTAGGAGACTCCTGTACCTGCGCTTCCACTTCCTGGATGTGGTAGAGGGGCGGCTCTCCCCGTGTCAAGAGGATCCTATTCAGTGCGCCTCTAGACATCCTTCCAGGCAAGATTAAACTCAGAGGGAAAGGGATACGGGAGGCAAACCACGGCTTTGTCACAGTAAAGTAATTGTCATTCTCAACCCAGAAAGTGTGAAGCTGCCAAAGGAAGGCAAAACAATTACAGGGATGTTCTCCTGCTAAAATGAGTATCACTCGTCAGTCTGACAGCTTCTTCAGAAGTGTCCTTCAAGAAAGTACCTCCGGTTAAGTTTTTCAGATACAATGGCTCAAGGTCAAATGAGATTATTTTAAACATATTTAAAAATTTTGTTGACTGCTGTATCTCAGCAGCCAGAATAGAGCCTAGTGCATATTGAGGGCTCCGTAAATATCCACCAAATGAAAGAACTACAGTATAGCCAATTCTATACATGCATCAAAGTTTCATCTTCCAATGGTAGCATTTATTGCAAAAACAGTATGATTGTGTTGGAATGGAATTCAGTGGTAGAACATTTCCCTAGCCAAGCAAGCAAACCAAACTATTCACTTCAAAGGGAAGCTAAATGTCTAAGAGAATCCAGTTTTGTCATAATATCAAAACTAATATGAGAAATTTACTCTTGAAGACTCCTCCCCTTTTTTGTTCTTTCTAACAGACCACAGCATTCTCACTAGTCCCTGCAATACTGCAGTATTCAGAGACACTCACCACGGCAGGGAGAAGCTTCTCTTCCAGGAGGGCGATGTAAGCCAGGGTGTCTGCCCCTTGTTTTGCTGAGAGTTCACAGTCAGCATTGTATTTCTATTCAAAACCAAAACAAAACCTCTCAGAGGTCAGAGAGCATCCCAAGGACAAGGGAGTTAAGCGAAGTAGAACTCTGATTCTCCCTCACAAAAGCTGACATTATGAGGGGAGTACTAACCCAAGGAATGCTGTTCCTGACCGCAAAGAGGGTTCTCAACACTGTATCACCCTACACAAAGTGAACAAGAGTTGCTTGCGTGTCAGCTGACTTCTATTGTTTCCATACTTACTGATGACCTTTGTTCAGAGTATGGCGTGTGATACAAAGTCAACACGTAGAAGCAATTATTTTTAACAAGAAAGGAAAAAAAATATATGTTCTCCCTAATGTTTTTCTCCATAAAAAAAAAACTCTTCAATTTAGAATTTGCTTAAATTATAATGGTACACATTCTTTTTCTTAGAGTACTGAAAAACCAATAATAACTTTCATGTTCATTTGAATCTTTATATTTACATCATGGATTTACTACATAAATATTGACATTTCCACACGTTTCAGATACATGATTTCATAAAGTATATGGCTATCAGATAAGCGCTTTCTAAAAAACACACTCAGGGGCAGAGTGCTTGCCTACTTGCCACAACACCCCAGATTCAATTTCCAGTACCAAAATAAAAGAAAAAAAAAAGAATAAATGATCGAATAAAACAGCTGAGATTCGGTGGGAACCCAGATGTCACACTTAACATGAAATGTATAGGAACAATGGGACTAAAGTGATCGTGTTATCAACAAGAGTAATCGTGAATAACTAAATTGAATCCTCTTACATCCATTTCAATATATTCACAAAAATAGACATTGTATAAACTTCACTATGACTTCTAAAATCACAGTAAAAACGGCATCGAGAAGCAAGTCTTTGTTTCTCAGTGGTCAAAATCCAAGTGTGTCCAGTTGCCCAATGAATTGTAAAAAGTAAAACCACCTTATGATGAATTAAAAATAAAAACCAGCCCAGTAGCTACACATCCCTTTAATCAAATCACTTGGGAGGCAGAGACAGACGGATCTCTGCGAGTTTGAGGCCAACCTGGTGTACAGAGTGATTTCCAGGATAGACAAGGCTTCACAGAGAAACCCTGTTGTTGAACAACTAAAACAAACCAACCAACCAAACCAAAAACAAAAACATGTCCAGTGGCTGAGCAATCCTTTAGTCCCAGCACTCGGAAGGCAAAGGTAGGTTGATCTCTGTGAGTTCAAGGTCAGCCTGATCTCTGTGGGTTCCAGGACAGCCAGGAATATGCAGAGAAACCCTGTCTCTAAAAACCAAAATCCAAACCAAAAACAAACAAAAAGCTATACAGGATGCCAGATATGATGGGTGACACCTATAATCCTAGCATTTGATGCCAGCCTGGCTGGTCAGGGTACACTAGAGTATAGCCCAGTCTAAAATAATAATAGGGTAACATGCAGAAAACGATCTGCTTCTTCAAAAGGAGCCACCCACCTGTTTTCTTAAAAAGTTTAGTATTTTTGCAGGCTGAGAAACAATGCTGTCTTCAGTCGTCAAAATTGGTACATCACCTATAATCAAAAACAGTTGACATACAAGCAAGACACACCGTGATCTATTTTGAAGATTACAATACTTAAAAACTAGACCAATTGCACATGGGAGATTGTCTGTAAGAACGTTTGCCTTTTCTTTGTAGTTTCCCAAGGAGCAGGTCTGGGGCACATTTTCGTTTCTCCTATTTTCCACAAATTGGGCTTGCATTTCGAGTTACTACTCAGAGCGAGCAACCAGCCCACAGCCAAGGTCGTTCTTAGAAGCTAAAACTCTAGATACCCACGGCTTTAAACGCAAGAGGGGATGCCAGTGTCAGAAGGGCGGACGGGGGCGTGTGGAAGCTCATACTGTACCTCTTGGACCTCTCCAGGTGTTATCTATGACATTGACTTTCAAGGGTGCGCCCGAAAACTTGGCGTACGCCTGAAACAGAGTTTGCAAGGAGACATTTTAGACAGAGCAGTATGCAGGGCGGCTGTGAGGCAGCCCGCGCGCCCGCGCCCATCCCCCGTCCGCGGCGGGGACGCGCAGGCTTCGCGCTCCAGGGGACGTAGGTCTGAGGAGGCCAGGCCGGCGGGCGGGCGTGCTCGGAGAAAGCACGGCCAGGCCGACCAGAGTGGAGGCTTGCGGGAAGCCCACCCGTCCGTCCGTCCGTCCCCAGCGGAGCCCGCAGCGAGCCAGTCCAGTCCTCCCGCGCCCCGGCCCGCGAGGCGGCCTCACCATCACCACCAGGGACTCGCTGTGCACCGAAGGGAGCCCCCAGCCACCTCCCCAGCAGCTGAGCTCCAAGGGGGCCGCCATCTTGCCGGGGCCGACCTCCGTCACCCGGAAGTACTCCTGCCGCCCACTCTCCTGCACGTGGAGTGGCGGGGGCGGGACGAGGAGCAGGGACTGACTGTTTGGGGCTCTGGATAGCTGCAGAAAGGGCAACGCCAGGCTGTTAGAAAGAGACTCGAACAACCGGACTGGGAGCTAGAAGGGAAAGCGACCTGCTAGGCATTCTCCAAGTATTTATGGCATGCCATTTTACTACGTGCCAACATCACTGTGGTACACCTAAATCTGCAAAATGACTGTTCACACAAATATGCTTTCAAATGACACGGTGGTGGTTGGTACACTGTAGGCCCTTGCAGTGTTCAGTCTTTATAATGGGCCGTTGCCTGCCTTTCACGTCTCAATTGTGGTTGCCATTCCTATGTTGACATGATTGGACCTCGTTAAAATTTAATCCTGTCCTAAAGTTTACCGGAGGACTCCTGACTGCTCACAACGCTACTCCTTTAATCTAGGATCGCTTTCATCTTCAACTGTTCTCCCCAAATTGAGTTTAGTGGGGCTGGAGAACTGGCTCAGTTAAATGTACTTGTGTCTCTTGAAGACTTAGCTTGGTCCCCAGCACCCAGGTGGTGCTCAGCATCATTGTAACTCCAGATCCAGGAGATCCGAGGCCCTCTTCTGGCCAGTAGGGGAACTGGGCATTCATGTGGTGCACGTTCATACATGAGGGCAAGGCATACGCATAAAATGTAAATCTTTTTATTTACTTATTGATTGATTGGTTTTATTGAGCTATACATTTTTCTCTGCTGCCCTCCCTTACCCTCCCCTCCCTTTCAACCCTCTCCCATGGTCCCCATGGTCCCAATGTTCACAGGAGATCTTGTCTTTTTTTATTTCCCATGTAGATTAGATACATGTATGTCTCTTTTTAGGGTCCTCATTGTTGTCTAGGATTGTGATTTGTAGGCTGGTTTTCTTTGCTTTATGTTTAAAAACCACTTATGAGTGAGTACATATGCTAATTGTCTTTCTGGGTCTGAATTGCCTTACTCAATATATTTTCTAGCTCCATCCATTTGCCTACAAATTTCAAAATGTCATTTTTTTCTCCTCTGTAGTACTTTATTGTGTAAATGTACCACATTTTCCTGATCCATTCTTTGGTCAAGAGGCATTTATGTTGTTTCCAGGTTCTGGCTATGTCAAACAATGCTGATACAAACATAGCTGAGCTCATGTCTTTGTGGTATGATTGAACATCCTTTGGATATATACCCAAAAGTGGTATTGCTGGGACTTGAGGAACGCTTTTCCTAATTTTCTGAGAAATTGTCATACTGATATCCAAAGGGGCTGTACCAGCTTGCACTCCCACCAGCAATGCAGGAGTATTATTTACTTATTTTTTTTAAGTTAAACTTAACCTTTTACAAAATTAGGAGCTCCTTCTGGCTTCTTGCAGCTCCTTTTATGAACTTGAATTTTGCTTCTGTCCTAATCACAGGCTTTTGCTTCCCACTGCACAGAAGCTGTCCTAGGAAGGTCAGGCCTGGCTTCATAGGTGTGGGACAGTGCACACAGGGAAGGTTCTTTGCTTAGGAAGGCTTGCTTCACTAACTGCTCTGCTGTTGCTGTCTTGAAATTTTAATCATGGCATAAAGGACTCTGTGTTTTTATTTTAGACTAAACATTGTAAATCATTCAACCAATCTTATCTATGGGCCTAATAGGTGTATGCTAAATATTTCATAAACATTAAAACCGTTGATTTCTCAGAAAAACCATTAAAGAGATACTTACTGGCTTTCAGATGTAGGACCTGGGTACCGCGTAGTTTTTACAGGCAGCACAATAGTCTTTCTGGGTTAGCCTCTTGATACACCTCTGGGCTTTCTCTTTTCCTTTGTCACAAGGAGATGTATGGGTGTCCTTCAACGGAAACCTCTGCAAATTTCCATAAAATAATGTTGGGCAATACTTGCTAGGGACTTTCTTGTAAGGAAATAACACCCCAGAATCGCAGTGCTGATCTGCTATGGTATTTTTTTTTAAAGATTATGATTCAAAAATAAAACATCCCAGAAATGAAAGAAAAGACATTCCACACTAAGAATCCATTAGTCACATTTTCCAAGTGAGGAATGCTTAGTGAATGTACAGTTGAAACGAAACAGTACATTTACGGAGCAGAAGTACATCCAAGACTCTAGAGGGCTTCTGAAGCCTACAGAGATACATGAGACAGGGAGTCTTAGCTTAAGAGTTTATAGTCTACAAATCAGACATCACACATAGCAAAGTATTAAAGTTATTTTGGGGCTGGAGAGATGCCTCAGCCATTAAAGGCTAAGCTCACAACCCAAACTATAAAAAAGTCACTGTCACCAGTAAATTTAGAGATATATGTAAAATACTAAAAACACAACAGAGGAATGGCGTGTCATCACTGTGGAGTCGTTGAGGAAAGGCTCATCACTGTGGGGTCATTGGAGGGTTTCTGCTTGATCTTCAATGTAAAGGAGGTAATTTAATTTTCTGATTTGATGTAATGGAAGCTTCATGCTTTGAGAAATAAAATTCCAAGCAATAAAGCTCTGAATCTGTGTACTACAACAAGGTATTTAAAAATACAGCGAGAATGTGTACTCTCTGAGTCTTGTTGGCAGTTGGGGGAATGGGCACATAGTGTGGTCTCCTCTCTGACCATGCCTGCTGCTTATGACGATTTCATTTGAATTAGAGAGAAGTTAAGTCTTTGTTTAAGATTGTCAAGTTGAGGCAGAAAACAGCATCTTTTTCCATCTGATAAGAGAATTCTTTCTTAGAGGTTTATTTGTGCCTAGTTAATAGCAATCTTGTGTTGCTGCATTTCCTCTTGAAAGTCTATCTCTGCTACATTGAATGACTGAATTTATAACACTGGTTACCTGATTGCACAACCAAGCTGAATACTGTTCCGGACAATGACAAGGAAAGCCAGAACCATCAGAAATCATGCCTGGCATGGGTACTTGGCTCCTGTGACTTTCCTGGCTGTTAAAGAGGTTGTTCCGAGTTCATCAAAATCATAATTTCAGATTCTTCCCGGGCAAGGCATTCTCACTATCTGCAAAACATTCATGTGCGGGCAGGATGGCCTGACCACAGCTTCATAATGACTCTTCCAGACCACGTCTTCCCCGAGCATTTTTGTTTTTCAGAAGATGCACATTAAGTGGCTTCATCTGAACTCAGAGGACCTGACCTTGGCATCTAGTCCTGTTGCTCGTGTGTTACAAGTTCTCTTCGCATCCCTATCCACCCCATTTCCATTACTAAGAATCTCTGAAATAGAGTTCCCAGCAAAGAGGCAATGCTTGTGATAAATGATCATGCCTTGTGGTCCCTCATGAGAGAGTTAAACTGAACACCCATGAATGTTTCTTAGTTAGTGTTCAGATATAGAATTCTTTTTTTTTTTTTCGAGACAGGGTTTCTCTGTGGTTTTGGAGCCTGTCCTGGAACTAGCTCTTGTAGACCAGGTTGGCCTCAAACTCACAGAGATCCGCCTGCCTCTGCCTCCCGAGTGCTGGGATTAAAGGCGTGTGCCACCACCGCCCGGCCTAGAATTTTTAAGAAGAAAAGTCCCATTGAAAATATATCAAGCGGCCGGGCGGTGGTGGCGCGCGCCTTTAATCCCAGCACTCGGGAGGCAGAGGCAGGCAGATCTCTGTGAGTTTGAGGCCAGCCTGGTCTACAAGAGCTAGTTCCAGGACAGGAACCAAAAGCTAAGGAGAAACCCTATCTCGAAAATCAAAAAAAAAAAAAAAGAAGAAGAAGAAAGAAAGAAAGAAAATATATCAAACGAACTGTGTGGTTTTTTATTTTGTTTTTTTTTTGTTTGTTTGTTTTTGTTTTAGCTTCTAAATTAGCTCTGCATTTGTGAGACTACATACCAGAATTGTTTGCAGTATGTGGTTTAACTCATTTGATCACATAATAGCTCCATGAAGCAGTTCCTGTTCTCTCCCCTGGTTTTATGGCGAGATATTAACATGCAAGGATGTCAGTTAACTTTCCCAAAGTTTCACGAGGTGGGATAACAAGGATTTGACCCCTGGCAACCTGTTTTAAAGCTGAAAGCCCTGCATAATCAATATTACAGTGCCTCCTATAACCTCCCAAGAAATCCATTTAAAAGTCTTTTTGTTTGTTTGTTTAAAAGCACTTTATTAAAATAAAAAAGGATTTTTTGTGACATGGTGCACACATTATTACTTCTTTGAGTAATAGTTAACATTAGGCCATTGAGCAAATTAGTTGACAAGTTCTGTGTGCATAGCACATTGTAAGCCAGTAAGGAAATAAAAACTGGCATTCTTGCATTCAGATGAATAGTTGGTGAAATATAAACTTTATGTCTGAGATAAGAACAATGTGTTTGAGATAACTAAATACTAACAAGATGTACCATTTTTCCAAGACCAAAAGCCTAATGTTTTAGACAAAGGCTTTAAATATTTTTCCATGCTTGGCAAAAGAATAATGGAGGAAACAGAGCATTTCTGACCTTGAATCATGAGTCCATTGGGTTTTGTTTGACATAAGGAAGGATGATGAGCTAAGCTAGATGAGTGTGACCTAGAAACGAGGATGTCTATGGCAGGAAATTATACAATGGATATTGAACAGAAGGAATGATACTTAATGGGTACCACGATTGGAAACTCTTGGAATGTGTAGTTTTGAAGGATGCAAAGGAAGAATAAGTCATCCAAACAGAACCAGTAGATTCCCTAGTCAAGGGCAACAGGAACAATAGAGTTGTTTCATGAGTATAAATAGGAGGAGAAGTCTTATGAATCCAAAATTGCATCAAATGAAGCCAAAATGTGCTGGCAAATGAAATGAGGAAACACTGCAGAAGGTCGTCAAAGAAGACTGATCGGCACCCTGCTCCGAGCGCTTTTCACAGCGATGCTGTGAAAAACCGAGCAGTACAAAGAGTCGGGGTGGGTAAGATCTTGAAGACATAAGTGAAATGGAAAAATCAGA